CACTTAAAATGTTAGTATCTTTGAGACGATTAGAAGATAAAGTTTTGTGTTCTATGACAAAATGTGCTGCTTTACAATGTTTGACGGGAGCAAGGATAATGTATTAAGCAGAAAGTGTCCCAATTCATGGTGATGAATGGTTCAATCCACTCCTTTTAAAGAGAGCTTCTTCATTTAATCACCCTTATTCCAATGATTGTTCACCATCTGTTAGCGAGGCTAACTGGAGGAGAGTGGCAGAGGTAAACAGTTATCTTTGCCTGGGCACATTTGCGTGGAAACTGCTTTCGCACAGCATTGCATTAGTCAACCTATTTGTGCTGAAAGCCAAGCATTAGGGAATCCCAAACCGTCCGTTAAGCCATTCAAGTAGATGTATGCATGCCCAGATGATCTATATAATGAAGATGGATAGCGGGGGTTACTTTGCGAATTGGATTTAGTATGAAAATGTCTCGCTATAAACAACACACTATTGAGTCATGTTACTGTCTCCAAACGAGGGAGAACTGACTAATGCTCAGTGATGTGCATTTTATGATGCCCATTATTATAAAGTATATATTATAGTCGATATCTTTTTTTTCTTTAAATAATTCAGAATAAGCTGTTTAACTTATTGTAAGCACTTTGCTTGTTTCTTATTAAATATGGAGTATTTTCAATTTTATTTTATTTGTGGGAGCTCAGATGTTTCAGGAAGCCCTAAATGATAATCATCATCTTTGCTTTGGATATAATGTCGCAATAAAAATACGGTCACAGAGTTTTCGAAACATTGCATTTGAAAATCCCTCGACGATGTTTATTTTAGTTTTTTGTCATTATTTTTACAGAACAATTGCAAATTTGGACCAATATTGAGCTTGAAATTGATTACATTTTTTTTTTTTTTGGGCAATTAACAGGGTTCCCACAACCTGATATGTGTCACCGCTGGCAAACACTCGTGTTCGATATGAAGCAAGACAGAGACTCGTTTGCAACATGGCATTAGTCGTGATGCACGACCTCTCAAAAGGTTTTTAAACAGTTGTCTCTTCGACCCAGCTTCAGCACTCTGGGGACCGGGTTATGTTAACGACAATGGGTGGAGTGGTGGCACATTGGCTCGTGCACAGCACAATGAACCCGGCCGCACGAGTTCAAATCTCAGCCATGGCTAACATTAGTGGAGAGTGAGATCTGAACCGGTCCAGCTGGCCATGTTTGCCCACCCACTCATCATTGTTCACCAACTTAAGCTAAAATTATGAAAAAAACTAAATAATTATTATGTTACTATGTAAGACCCACTGAACCGTACAGCTCTTTGTCAGAAGCGATCTGGCCACAAATGATACAGTTTAACGAAGTGGCTTATCACGTGCAAATTTATAGGAGCCAAATTACTCTCAACACGTGTTTATGAATGTGGAGGGGAAAATCGGAGGACTCGAAGAAAAATCCAGGCGACCATAGAGAAAACTTGTAAACTCTGGATCGGGATCGAACCCAAGACCTCATGTATACCAGGCGAGGTAGTTAACACCTCGCCACCATAACGTCCCAACCTACCATCACCATTTCGATTTAAAGCTTTCGTGACTGCAGGGATTCATCTTCTTGGTTCTTTCGGTAAAGTCACGTAGAAGGAAAATAATAAAATAATAAAAATTAAACATAGTAAAATAATTCTCACGACGTTTCGGCCACAACGCAAGTAGCCGTCTTCAGGTGGAGAACAGGTCTGTCGAGAAGGCAGAGTCTGAATGTTCAATGTTCATTCAGACTCTGCCTTCTCGACAGACCTGTTCTCCACCTGAAGACGGCTGCTTGCGTTGTGGCCGAAACGTCGTGAGAATTATTTTATTATGTTTTATTTTTATTATTTTCCTTCTACGTGACTTTACCGAAAGAACTAAGAAGACTACCATCACCAGTTTGGTGAAATATAGTAAAACAACCCCAGTGCAAACCGAGTGGTTGAGACCTTCACCAGCAGTGGCATGGCAAGGGGCTGTAAATGATGATGATGTACATTATTGATTTTAGCTCTCGTATTGGTAAATGTTCGCAGCTGTTCTGTTCTGGGAAAGCTAAAGGTTCAGCGAATTGTGCCAGGCGATGGCGGGGACGTGGAGTCTCCCTACCCCATATGCCAACCTGGATTCTCCATCAATCCCGTGGCCCATCCGTACATTTGTCTCTTTCGTCCGTCAAACCCATCACGGGAGTCTTTTTTTCGAAAGCAAATAAGACACAAACCAATAACCCCCCAAAAAATCAAAGTACACCGCTGCATAGCCGCTGCGTATATAGAAACCCCCTTAATCACACGCCACTTATCGCTTGTTTTGTGCCACTCGTGTTGGTCATTGTGGACACATTAATAATGTAACGGCGCTTGTGTTGGTTAGTCTCACCACACTCTCAATGAGGTTTGCTTTCACAGCAGCCGCAATTTATAGTGCGTTAGTCCGAATAATGCTACTAATTCTCTTTAAAGCAAAAGAAAGCTTGATAAATTGCAATTGCCAATATTTTATTAAATAACTAACCCAAAGTTCGTAAAAAAAAATCCGAATTGCATGCCGTGCATAGTAAACGGCTGTCCAGTCGTAAATATGTAGCCGACAATAACTGTGGCTTGGCCCTCCAACACACCGGATGGGCTGTACTAGTGACGAATTGGCCACGTTCTGTTTACGTGACAACCCTTACGAGTTGTCCGTGTCGGGTGGTGGCGGGTTTTAACGACACATTTATATATTTACGCGATCTAACCCCCCCCCCCCCCCCCAAAAAAAAAACACCTTTATTATCCTAAGTATGTAGCCGACAATAACTGGTTTTACCACGATATGCCAACAGGGGTCAGTGACATCACATTTGAAGTCAAAAGATCGAGACGCAGTAGTTCATGGGCTCCGCGCGTAACGCCCGCGACGTCACGTGTCGTACACTCACGTTTCAAACAAAGAGATGATTTACACAAATCCATTTCTCACACAACCTTTGTTTAGCTCTATTTCTCTTCATTTTGCGGGCTGCGTGATAGAAACCAGGGATAATTTGTCCCTATTAGCATTTAAATTAAGTTTTCACGTCCACGTATACTATACGTTGGAGGTTGTTGCATATTAAAAATGTAAATGTTTAAGGAGTAAAACATTCATAATAATGAAATTCCATTAAGGCGTTCGCTCACCTTAAGTCGCCCTACACTTCACACAGCGCCGAGTGGCCTACATTTCACAAATGCATGCAAAGTGAATAAATAATTAACAATAACATTCTTGCCTCTTCACCATTGCTCTCAGAAGTGCATTTCCAGCTTCATGAGCTCCCCCATTAAAAACCGAAACACAAAACATATATAACGATATAATATATTTAACGAGCCCAATTTATTCACGGTAAAAATAAAATGCCAAGTTTGTTTTTTGTACATCCCCCCCCCCCCATCTCGTCTCCATCTCACACCTCACACCCACCCAGAATGTCTCCAAACGTCTTGATGTTTGTAAGTTTTATTTTTGGAGGTTAATGCTGGCGGATGCTAATTGAGAAGCGCGACGCTCCCCACGGAGTGTGGCCAAGAGAGGACTTTGGGCCTTTTTCCAGCTGTTCCATTTCCATATCACTGTCTTTATGCAAATGTAAAAAAGGCAGCAATGGTGCCGCTAATGGTGTCAGCATGCAAATGAGGGCCAGCCTCCCCTTTTATTCTCCTTTAAAGCATCTCAATAATCTTCTTGCTGTGTGTTCCAGGCTGGCCAGATTGGTTTGCGCTTCAAGGATTAGTGACTTTTTCCCTGAGCAGCCGTGTGGGGGGGGGGGGGGGGGAAGTTTTCCCTTCATTAGTCAGTTTTTAACACTGGCATGAGAGAAATGTGATTTTCTTTTCGCGCGTACATATATACATATTTATTTTTCGATTTAAAGCTTTCGTGACTGCGGAAAGAACCAAGAAGATACATATTTATTCTCTTGCACCACGCGTGGAATAAATTGTTGCGTGCTGTGTGTGCCAGAGGTGGTTGGCATGGGCCCTGGTGCAAGAGATGAAATGGTCCTTCCGCCTCTGTCCCCAACCTACCTCTGCTTCATAACCCAGTGGCTGTACCCCCCTCCTCCTCTTCGGCCCGTGAGCCCCAACGCAGTTGCACCGCCTGCATTCAAAGTCCACTCGAAACCTACCGTTACGCGGCCTAGGCAATCACATTCTCTTTGCACGCTTGTAACACAAATTCGGTTTGGAGAACACACACCCGCCGTCTCTCTCTCTCTATTTCTTTTTTTGAGTAACCTCTTCTTTTTTAACGTTGACGTTATTTCGCAGTGCAAAAAAAAATCGTGAACCACAAGAGGCGATGCAACTTCGCACGGTTGAACCAATATGTGAACATCCATTAACCTGACAGCTGTCTTTTGGTTGACTGGCCCATACATATATGCCAATACACGCCACTGCGTTAAATTATTCAAGGGAGTGCTGCATAATGGGAGCTGCAGGTGTGAATTGCTAAGAGGGTTAACAAGCTCGTGCATTATTTATTTCCCAACACCGGACTTCGTTTTTTTTTTTGTAACGAGTCACCATTGAGTAAAATACATAGCCAAAATACGATACAGTATTCACCAGTCTTCTTATATGACACTTCCACTTAGCAGCTGAGCTAAAATGGTAATGATTTTGGGATACAGTTGCTTAATTAGAAGATGACAAGGTACATTCAGAATATAATTACTTAATACAGCGTATAGCTGGCAGAAAAATAATGAAAAGTGGCTGGACATGTTTTAACTCGTGGAGTAGCCCATCATAAAGATGTTATACAACTTTAATATAAATGAATGCGCGAGGGTTTGAATGTCTCTTTCAATGGTGAGAACCATTCCTACTGTTGTAGATGTCATGGCATAGCAAATAACAGGAGTTATAGTTTAATCGCAACGAAAGTCACATTTTAACATTGAGTAAAATATTGACACAGTAATTCCACACATCACAAAAATGTTCTAAAATAAATCGTCTCTGTTAGGTTGAATTTAACGAGCTTGCCAACGTCAAATGAAACTTCGGAGGCTGATACTGCGTGAACACATTCAGAAACATGGCAAAAAGATATTCAAGACAATTATGAACTGGAGTTAAATTGTTAAAACATTTGCTCGGCATTAAAGTCAAACATACAGTGCTGTTGTTCAGAGACATGGTCATTAACAAAAAAAACAAGGTGCGAAAACTCAAAATGTGTCAAATAAGGATGAAGACATGCTTGAAATGATACCGAGAGGAAGAAGAATGCATTTATTTAAACAAAAACCCACACTGAGTAAGTTGCATGTGAGTCACAAATAAGTTGTCATCAATGAAACTATGAAATAAATAAAACACATAAAATAAGTGGGCCTGGGCAGGTCGTGTCACTGGAAGGGATATAATGGCTTCTGGTCAATAATAATAATGGTGATGGAGTGGCAGCCAAGATATAGAACCGCGTCTGAGAGGACGTCCACTGGGCAGACGGAGCGATGAGATCGACTTGGGTGCAGGTAGGTCCTTGCATCGCACGATCGTGAGGGATGGAAACGGCTTGGCAAGGCCTTCACCCAGGAGTCGATTTATTTGTGGCTGATGATGATGATGATGGCGGTGATAGAGTGGTAACCATATTGCCAGGACATCGTTCAGAAAAACAGTGTTATTTCATTCACGTCGTAAAAAAACACAAACGATAAGTCTCTATTCCTCACTCGATTTTGGAAGAAAGTTGAACAGCAGGAGTGCGGGTGGCGAATGTTGTCGGTGTCCTTATCTCAAACGTACATCAATTCAATAAATCGATAATTTTCCAATATTGTATACGTATGAACTTACACACCAGCAGATGTTACGCGTTTAATACAAAAACAACTCGGTCATCGCTCGTTGACGTAGGTATTCGCAGACTTGACCGAGACTGCTGATATGGTAATGAATTCAAAGATAATATTGAAAAAATGGGCAGGTGCAGAGTGATAAATTAATTTTGCTCCCCTGGGTAAGTAGAGCCGCTCAGCTACTCAAACATATCGAATGTTTAGAATGAGGACAGCATGGTAAAGATTTTAAACACTGAGATCGGTGTTTTTGCCGATGGAGATTAAGGATCCAATGATTCATCTGTCGGCCGTAGAATCCGCGGGGAGCGCATTTCCCCACTCCATTTTCCATCGTACGTTTGACAGTGGTAAATTGAGTGTGCGTTGCTGACAGCTACTGATGAATGTTAGGCTGTGTTCAACATAAAAAAAGTTGGTATATGTTATTCGCTCGGCGATAGACCGAGCTGCTTGCGATCTGAAAGGTTGCAAGTTCAGTTCAAATCCTGGTCGGGAAGTTGACTTAACCCATCATCCCTCTGGGGTCGGTGACATGAGTACCACTTCGTGGATACATCGACAGTGATTGGCGTGAAGATGGATTCTCACCGACCATAGGAATTTGGAATTTCCACCACTGTGTCAGGACTGTAAATAGGAGACTAGTACTGGCTCATTGCTCATTGGAGTTAGACATCATATTTATTTGTTTTAATAATTGTATTTATTAAACAGACAATTTTGTTTCCCGACAACGTTGACCCATAACCAGTGCCTTGCCACAAGGCAAAGTTATACAAACCTAATCACTTTCCCGCCTGCATGGCCATCATTCCAATTTGAACAACATTTTGTACAGCATAGCAACAGCATATTTTGAGATTTAAATTTGCATTCTATATGCCATTCGACTAATTTAAATAATGGTGATTGGACATGGATACACTCATTTAAGTTACAAATTTGATTTTCTTTTAGTTTTGCTCCCTAGCTTTTGCATTTTTATTATTAAATTGCACATGGAGAAACGGTTTCACACTGCTTCGTCTTTATTTTTAAAATCCCCTGTGTGCTCTGATTCTTTTCGCTCAGAATTCAATAAATGCCCATTGTGGTGCTCTTTGCGCTTGGAAACAACACCTGCCTAATTTAATTATGTTGAATTGAGGACGAGCCCAGCTGCAGGAAAGCTTGGCTGCTTAATCATTCATCAGCAGCCACAGCGCTCCGAACCTTTGTGAGAATGTTCTGGTTACTCTCCTTATTAACATTATATGATTGAAAGTTGTAAAATGTGGTTATTTGAAATTACAAACTAAAACAAATAACAAAAACCAGCCATTCTCAATCCACCAATTTATGAAGACCCCATGTCAGTTACTTTGGGGTTTTTTTTCATACCATACTTCGACACTTTAGACAGTTTGAGTTGGTTAAGGCAGCTGTTGGAGGGCACTCCGGATTCTGTTATGACTTGTCGCTGATGTCGGTTGTGGCCTGTAATCGAACTTGGGACGCGTGGGTTTATAGTCCACAGAGCTATAAGCATTGTACGGCTGCTGCAACTCGTATTCCAAATCGTATATATATACGTGAATATTCATTTGAACGGTATTGTATCATTTGTGAAATATCTGGATAAAAGATAGGAGAGTGCAACTACACCCGCAATCTAGCAGTGCCAAATGCACTCCCTATTAAGTTCAGTTGAAGTTAGAGCTGGGATGATTAATCTGTTAAACATTCTAATCGACTATATTGTTTGGTGTTCGATTACTCAGGCCCCTTTAAAATTGGCGGTCGTCCTCTACATCATGTCTCTCGAAGGTGGGAAACCTCCCTAAAAGTCTCGCCGAGCATGACACGGCTGGATGATGATGTCGATGACATCATCAAGCCCTGCCCATCACCTCCCATCCAGTGGCACACGTGGGAACAGAGGTGATACTTTTTTTCCCAAATGCTGTTGGTGTTGTCCGATTAGCTAAGTAATGGAACTGATAATTGGTAGAGAAATCAATTACTTAAATAATCAGATAGACCAGCTCAAGTGGAAGCCTTTATAAAGGTTATATGTTTCTTTATCTTCCATTGCTCTCATCCACCGCTATATAAAATGAGCACAATACATAACACGTTGGGGGGTAATGGCGATTAAATGATAAACAATATAGAGCCTCCCCCCACTGTATTGGCCATTGGGAATATTTGACCATACTTCACCACACTAGTCAGTAGAGGTTAGCAATGTTGATGGTTTGTGGGAAGCATCCAGAACTAGTTGAGATATCGTTCACCACTGATCTTAGACATGGCTGGGAATCGAACACAGGTGTGCCGGGTTCATGATACAACACTGTGAAAATCATTGCACCACTGCTAAACCGAAACCGATCAAACCGTCATGAAATCATGGACCAGCCTATTAATTTAAATTCAGTGGAAATGGATGGGTTTTTTGACCCCTCAATAATATACGACTGTGAATGCTAACGCATTCAGGAAACAATAACCAAGAACCCTCTCTGCCTGCGGTGGTCGTGAACACAACTGATGGTAGCAGATAGTTAGCTTTATCTGGATGAAAAATACGTAAAGGATATTGTATGTTTTATCTACATTAATATGTCCTACTGTGTATAATACAAGGAGTTAAAATGGCGCACATGCGATGCCTGTTACACATTATAAACAACACGCAACATTGTTGCTTTGCAAATGTAAATGGAGGTTGTGAAACGACACGGGCGCGGTTTGTCTCTTCGTTTAAAAATCACGCTTAAAAAAATAATAACGCGGTGAAAATGATTTTTGTACTTACATCATTAATAAACAAACATCATAGTAAAGCAAATATATTTCCGTAGCAATGTGTTAGATAAGAGACTAATCTGTGACACGAGGACAAGTGAGTGATACCCACAAGAAATATCAGCTTTGTCTCTTCATCAGTAAAGGATGCAATTACAAAACATTCTCCTCCAACGTATTTTTTTCTGTATTCTTCGTTACAAATGCAGCACTTCATCTTTAACAAGCTTCACCACCCCCCCCCCCCCCCCATGAAGATGCAAAATCCACGCTGAGCGCCTGTGTTAATTGCATCTTGCTTTCTTGACAAGGACTCAATTTTTTCAATTTTAACGAGAGCATTTCAAAGATTTTCCCAAGGCCCTTTTGGAGATTGGCATAACCGATTCAACGTCTGGGAAGCAGACAACAATCAATATGACCAAAGGTCTGAGTGCAGTGCATGGTTGACTTCCCTCCTTTTGCAGGGCTGTGGTCCCTAGCTGATTTCACCCCCCCCACACACACACCGTCCCCCCCACATCGCCCTCCCCGCTTCAGTCACACAAGTGCATTTTCTTTTTTTTTCCAACATTGAAAATAACGAGGGAGTTGTCGCCGGATGAGAAAAGCGCAGACATGACATCCTGCGTGGTTTCCTCCCCCCCCACCCCCCACCAACACCGCAAAAACCTTCTTCCTCTAGAGTAAGAGGGAGAGAGATGGTCAGTTGGGTGGGGGGGAGGGAAAGGTGAGAAAAGGAGAGTTCAGGGAGTTCTAGAACGAGGGGAACACAACAACAACAACAATAGCGCGAGTAAGTGGATGGAGATGGATGAAAGACTTGAGAAAAAGGGAAAGTGAATGAGCGAGCGGCGTGGTGGGGGGGGGAGGCAGCAGGGATCTTTCGGCTTGGCCTGTGTTTGGCTCCAGGTTTCCACTGGGACCCCTTACCACGCTTCATTAGAAGCACGCCCTGCAAATGGGGGGGGGGGGGGGGTGGGGAATAAAAAAACAAAAGACAACAGCTGCCAGCACCCTTCACTAATGAACAATCCCCTCCACCCAATAGGAGCGACCATTTGTTCCAGCGGTGCCATAAGCATTTATAGGAAACAGTGCCTGATGCCAAACCCCCACAACACACATTGTTATTTTTTGTCAAACTTGTCGATATTAATTTGTGACGTCCACCCCTAAAAAAAAAATGACCATTCCGACCAATGTTACGCGGGAAAAAAAAATGTCAGCAATCGTTATTCGGTTCACGTTCAACATAAATGGTTTGATTGATAAATAATGACAGTTGAATCAAACGCTTTTGTCTTGCAAATACAACGCAGTGTTTTATCATATTTTATTTCGCAGTGTGCATTTATTTTCTTCATATTTTCAATTAATATATCCATTACTTTATCAATTCGTGCATTTGGTTATCCGTTCACCTATTAAAAATGTATTACGTGGTTAATTATGTTAACATTTTGTTTATTTAGCCTGTCAGAAGCGTGCAAGCACATATTTTAGCACAATAGAGCATCAACGTTTGGAACATCTCTCTGCAAGTTGTAGCCCGTTGAGATGAACACTTTTTTTGTCTGTCACTCTTCTGCTAATTTTTCCAATGGCATTGGTGATAATTTTGTCATGCATAAATTTGCACACAATCTGTTAAGATATCCTTTGGGAACCTGTCATGGAATTAGGCATAAAAAGCATCGCTCCACAGTAGCTAAGGGAAGAGTTTATATATATATATATATAGCCTTGGGCAAATATGTCATGGAAATTTGCACACCTTTGCAAGCATTTTGGTATTGTCAACAAAAAAACCACCTGCGTTTGTATTCAAAATAATAATTAGGTCATACGGAAAGTGTATGGAAATGACTATATCGAAATAACCAATTTTTTTAATGTATTTGTCAGCTTTTGTCACTGTCACAATGTGGTAATGTCCGTTGGCAAAAGTAAAACATCGAAATGTCATGCATGGGACCTCAGCTCAGTTCTCTGGACTCCAGAGAAAATTTCAAAGATTTGCCATGTATTATAGTGTGGGTTTACAACTGTGTTCTGCGTTTCAGATCATGATTAAAGCGATTGTCAACTTGCTCGAATAGCTTTAATGTGGTGCCCTAATGAACAGTTTTCTATGACTAATAGGCAGGCCATGTCATTATAGTAGCATAGGTTTGCACGTGAAAATCGCTATATATTGCATCATATTTTTTTGCGCGGTTAAATTATCATTTAAAGACCACGCAAAGAATTGAATGGCATGCAGTTACGCACACTCTTGAGCATTTTTGGAATGGCATAAATATAGGAAATGTTCTATTCCGCTTTCGAAATCAGGTTCGTGGATCGTTTTAAACATTATCTCTTGTTGCAGCAAGTGGGTTTTAGAGTCTCGAAGCACTTAGATTAACAGCAGCTCAGACTCGGCACGCACTTGAGAATTCATCAGTGACTCTTGACGCTGTTTACTGGCCCTTCAAATGCACGTGTTGCCTTTAACTGCTTCGTACAAATATTTGCTACAGGCCAGTGACTGATAAAAATACACCATTTCCTGCTTGTCATTGGCTATTGCATACCGTACCCGCATTTGCATGTTGACAGTTTATAGGCCCATTTAAAAATAGTGTGTCCCAATTGTCGCACAATAGCTTTTCATAATATTCAAACCGTCAGTATTTTTTTTAAATTTGTAATTGAGACACCAACCGACAGCCAGCATGTTTGTCATTCGTTGTCAGCATTCATCTCTGACCCATGATTCAGAGATATGACCCCCCTATTTTGACTGTTATGCCTGAATAGGAGGCTATTTTCGATTTTAATGCGAATATCGTTATTTCTAGTAAAAATCTGTTGTCATTTTCGTTGTCGAAAATGCAGTTGAATCTCTTCAAACGATAGCCTAATTTAGGGGATTGATAATCTTTGTTGGTACTTGACATGGTTTTTTTTGTAAATGATTATGAGTGCTTTTGATTACGCAAAGCCATTAATCTGTCGATGGTTGAAGGGGCCTGCTTAAAGCGCAAAGTCACAAAGAGGGATTATCTTGGATTTTACAAGGAAGTAATTCACCTAACATCTCTAAAGTACTTATTGTCTCAAGAGATATATGTTAGTATCAGCGATCCCCTTTCCTTTCCTGATATGCAAAAGGCACGAGCTTCACATTTGTACAATGCATATTTTTTCGGATTTGTAAGGACAATTTCTAATATTTATTTTTGATTTTCGGATCACTTACATAAAATAAAAGTGACATCACCTGATGCCATGTGATACCACTTTTTTGGGGGGGAAAGCGCATAAATTATTACATTTATTTATATATGTGTAACGTCTTTCACACTGTACAGATCCAACCGTGCTAATCGGAAGTGCAGGCAAAGGACAACAAGCTAAACACAAAAAGCAGTGAAAATAAATTAGTTTTCAATCTAGATTTACAAAGTGCATATATTTCCAGTGGCTTCCTAATATTGGAAGGAAGAGCGTTCCAGACGGCCAGAGAAGCGCATCGTAACATGTGATGTAATATCTTGTGGTGTCATACTTTAGGAAAAAGAAAAAAACATATTTTTGTGAACATCCCAAATTTTGTATTTTGGCCATATTTTTGTTTATGTTGGGATTCATTAAAAAAAAACCCTGAAGAACACATCGTTAATATACAATGACATAGAATAGACTGTATATTCCTGCAGAAAAAAACGTACGAAGAAATGCTATTTTTCCAATGGAACTCAAGCCGTCAAAATTCTGTCTGCATACCGAGACCACGGCCATTAATACAATGACACACTTTTTAAGTTCATTAGCATACATATATTTTTCTTCCGTGCCAAATAATTACATGTAAAATAACGACTACCATACACATTATATGATTGGCGCATGATTGATTTTTAATTCTACTTCTGAAAATGAACTGTAGCTGGGCAGAAGGAGTGAATGAATTCTAGATTTGAAGCTTTCGTGACTGCAAGGATTCATATTCTTAGGTTTTTTCGGTAAAGTCACGTAGGTAAAACATTAAAATTAATAAAAGTAAAATAAAATAAAAATCACGACGTTTCGGAGGCAACACAAGCTTCCGTCTTCAGGTGGAACCGTCACAGCCACGACAGCTGTATCAAGTAAATGAGAAATGCTATTTTTCCAATGGAACTCAAGCTGTCAAAATTCTGTCTGCATACCGAGACCACGGCCATTAACACAATGACACACTTTTTAAGTTCATTAGCATACATATATTTTTCTTCCGTGCCAAATAATTACACGTAAAATAACGACTACCATACACATTACTGTATATGATTGGCGCATGATTTATTTTAAATTCTACTTCTGAAAATGAGCTGTAGCTGGGCAGAAGGAGTGAATGAATCCCTGGCCATTTAGACACCCTAGTGAAACAGCAAAGCTGCGTTTTCCCGATAAAGCTCACATTCTGCCTTTTCCCTGAGCAAAAGGAGCCATTTTCATTCTAATTTTAGGTTGAGCTTTTGGATCTCTGCTGGCAGCTTCATTAGAAGGGCAATGCAGGAAGGTATAAGCCCACAGCAGGGTACCCTTTGGTGCAAGGCGTACCACAGTTGCACGGTAACCCTGCTACCACGCTTTACCAAAAACCGAGACCCTGCACGATGCGGGTGAGAAAATTGTACGATACACTGCATTTTGAGCTCAATTTCAGCTTTCTTACCAACTATGATCAACCTACTGTTTAACGTCCCTCTTCAGTAACATTCATCCGGGAATCCTGCACGCGTTGCGTCGTATGCGCACGATTGTAGATGACTACAGTATTTACAAATAAAATAAAAACATTAGGATACAAGTCCCGGTGATTTAAACAAGGGTATCAAGACATCGATAAGTCAAATTCTGTGACAGCTTCACGCCCAAAGATATGTAATTCGCGATCTTTGTTTTTTGCGTTGCCGCCGTAAATTGGCGTTGCCACTGACACGAGGCCTCCGCTTCCACCGACAACAGCTTCCGAATTACTTAATGTGAATTCACGACAGCATTGTTACACGCAAACCGAATCGTAAATCCACGGCGAGGATTCTCTCAAGCACGTTAACAGCGCTGTCCTCCGTTGAATTCCCAATGGTCATCATAAATCCTGTACGACTGACATCGCCTGGACCTCACATACTACCCTGCTCTTTCTTCTGGACCCCCCCCGCCCCCTTCACCATTCCACCCTTTGATCGTGTGGGGAAATTGCTAAGGATACGTGCAGACAACGGTCGGCCACAGGAATTCGTTTTATTGGAACTTAATATAGAATCACAAGTTCCATTGTGATCGTTCGATTCTGGAATGGTAGTTCATTTTTTTAAAAGTTGTCAAAGATTGAATCCTAAACGTTATTATTCTACGGATGTTTTGATTGGGTAAAGGGAGCTAAAACTACTCTGGAGTCACAAAATAAAATACTATTTAATTCCCGGTTAAATGACTAAAACTAGGAATCTGCAGAATGGGCGTCCCTATAGGTGGTGTTTTAGGCTTTATGAATAACAGAATCTGTCACTTCTAATACATTTATCAGAGACAAAAGCCAGTTTTCTTTTGGCTGCGAATGACCCAGACAGAGTTGTGTTTAACAATGGAATGTTTGTGTCTTATATATGCGAAACGGTACGTTTAATTTTATTTCATGAGCAAATGCCTCTGGGTGCAACGGGAAGGGGGGGGGGGGTGGCGGTGAAGAAATAAAATAATAATAAACTGTAAAAATAACAACTTTTTATTTTATTTGACCGGGTTTTTATTTAAAAGAAATAATGGTGGCATCTGTTTTAATTAAAACTGCAGCCTAAGGCTTAGAGAGGGGATAAGAAGGTTGATGTGCAGTCCGAACGACAAAGCGCGTGATGCTGCCTTGAGAAGTCATCTGTGTTGGCCTCTGGCTGAGCGCTCGCTGCCCACTGGGACGCCCAAGGGCTGTCAGTTGGGGTCTTTTTTTTGTATTGTTTTTGTTTTTTAAAGCTACTCCCTAATCTAGCCGGCTATAACTTGAGCCACAGCGGCAGTGTCACTCAAAGTGACATTTTACTCTTTTGTCTCATTCACTGGCTTGTAAAGACGTATTTTGTTGTTGTTGTTGTGTATTTTGCCAAATAGTGGATATACCATTATTAGCATTCGTGAAAAGTTTGTAAATATATTTATCTTCGTGCTGTGTTTCCTGGTACCCATTCCCATATTAATATCTGAATGTCTCCTCGGAGTTGATGGCAGGTAAAGTCTGATGTCATTTAGGGGGCAATTAATCCAAATGCTCAAAGCGATCATCTTATTAAAACGGAAGTCATATCCGTAAAAAAGAAAAAGAAATTATATATGTAGATAAGATATCAGAAACAACAATCATTATATTCAGCTTGCAAGACAATTAAATTATGCTAAAAGTCATTTCTGCTTTGCACCAATTTGAAAGCCAATTCGTGGCCTCTCATGTGTAACGTTTACTGATTAAGGCAGCACTTCAGTTCTTGCGCAGTGAAATTAAATGTTAATCTGTCCTTGGGGAAATGAGACGGCCAAGACACCTTTGCAAGTTTCGTGTAAAAAAGTGTTTTGATTGCAGAAGGCAAGTCTTAAACAATAGTATTGCTTGTTCATCAATTAAAGTAATTTATTAGCGGCTCACAAGCTCCGTTGGCCGGAACGGCGCAGATCAGGATTCCGTGTTAACAAATACTCGGCGCTGTATTCCAAGTGAAACTTTTTGCAAAAGCAATAGCAGCTCATTGATGGGCATTGCTAAACATTCCAAAAAGCAAAGGAGTAGAGAATACATTTTGTTTGCAGTGGTTATCAACATGAGACCCGTATTTTATGAATATAAGATTATATGACTGTTCAATGATTCCTCCCCCCACTTCTAAATTAAATGTAGAAGACCTTGATTTAACTCGACGCCTTTTTAGCTCCTTTGCAAAAAAAGTGCCTTTTATGTCTCTTTTCCTGCCAACTCGTCTGTCAGCTTGAAAAAATATATAACAAAGAGTAGTCGAGTCAATTTCCACTTAATGTTATCAGTTTAGGGGGGTAAAGCATTTTTTTCTCTCCCAATTACGTTGTAAATTTAAGCACAAAGGAGAGGACCGCGTCGTGATTTTCTTTGATATCATATCAATTGGTATTTCTGTCAGATCGATGTCTCGTTTCTCCCGCTGCGTATCTCTTGCTGCCCTCCAATCCCTGCCCTTTGCTCTCCACAGCAGCTGCCTATGTACTTACCATTGTTCTCAATCCTTATTGGTCATTTCCTGCCTCTGTACGCAAAGTATCCGTCCGTGTTTGCCCCCTTCCTCCTCCTCCTTTTCCTACACGCTGCTTGACCACCCTCTCTACTCTTCCTCGCCTTGCACTCCCCACTTGCAAGAGATCACTCGAGCCGGCTGGCCTTTGACCTCGGCCTGGCTGTGGCAGCTGGCAGATCCAGCGCTGCCTCTGCCAGCACAGACTGTGACCAATGGGACAAATAGGGGCGCCCAACAGGGCACGTGTGCTCGGCTGTTTTGTCCGTGGCTGTGTGGGCTTGTAACCTTACTTGACAGTAACGGAGTCAGCGACGTGGCCGTGCGGCTTCTGCCCACCCCCATCTGTTTGAGGAAGTATTCGCTTGCAAATGTATCGCTCGGACCTGTGCTCTCGTGCCACACAATGTCGCAGGAGTCTTCGGGGGTTTTAAGGGTCTGAGGAATAAGTGGGAATGTTTAAGCACACTGCAATATGACTTGGGAAATCTTCGAACGATAAATTGCCGTGATATATAACGGTGTTTCATGATGTGCAAGGAAAAACATTAATTCGGTATGTTTTACGGCTTTTTCGAGAACATTCAAACAAATACATCTCTATGGGCCCATAAGTGTTTTAACTCATTTCATAAACTCCTGTGTTGTAGATTATGTGAAAAAAATAATGTTGCTAATAAAATCTGAAATGAGCTGTTTTACTCCAGAATATATTTTAGGAAATATATCTCCTAATGCTAAAATGAGACAGCACATTTTAATATTTTAAATTACTGTGCATACAATAAACATTTGTATTTAATTACCCGTGATTGCCTAAGTTGAGAAATGTGAGTGCTTTCATCACAATCAAAACGTAAGCGTCTTTGATTATCAGCATCGTCAATTGACATCAACATCACAGCATCATATTGAAGATCGCCTCGAATTTGATGTGCAGTGTCTTATATTATAGCATTGAGCTAAAACAAACGTGGGTACAATTGTGACATTTGTTTTGCGGCGAAACCATTGGTTAAGATGTGCAGGCCCGGCCAACTGTAGTCTCTGTTGGCAGTTAGGGAAATTCCCCAACCGCCCGAGTCAGAAATATCCTATTTATTGACATTCTGGGATGGTGTAAAACAACCTACATGGGGTTTTGTTTGTTTGTTTAGAATTGATTTACAGACTAAATGTTCTTATTAGAATGCCTGTGTGGTCTTTCCATAAAAAGCGAAATATATAAATTTCGGTATGCGGGTGAACACTTTATGGTAGGAGCTATAAAACATTGTTTTTTTGGTTTTAACTTGGGATTTTAGATTTGAACCAAAGATTAAAAAGGACATGCACTTGACCCAAAGTGAAAGCCCTCCTTTGTCTGGAAATTCGCGTCTGTTCTGCTTGGGTGGGTTATGCATGCGTCACGATGTGGTCACTGAATTAATGCTCCCATAAACATGGGGGGCCTTGTCAGCCTTTCGCTGATCTGTAATGCCTTTTTTGAAAATTTAGAGCGGTCTTAGAATTTTGTTCCCATTTTACATTAAATATATACACTTTCATAATGAAACCATGTACACGCATAGTCATTCGTTGCTCCACTGCTGGATGAGGTCTTAGCATCTTGATCAAAATTTTTTTATTTTTTTAGAAATACAGTACCATCATTTTCCCACTGCTTGATGAGGTCTTAGCATCTTGATCAAATTTTTTTTCTTTTTTTAGAAATACAGTACCATCATTTTTCCACTGCTGGATGAGGTCTTAGCATCTTGATCAAATTTTTTTTAATTTTTTTAGAAACACAGTACCATCATTTTTCCACTGCTGGATGAGGTCTTAGCATCTTGATCAATTTATTTTTTATTTTTTTAGAAATACAGTACCATCATTTTTCCACTGCTGGATGAGGTCTTAGCATCTTGATCAAAATTTTTTTTTATTTTTTTAGAAATACAGTACCATCATTGTTGCTGTACCTGTAGATTTACGTCTCGCCCTTTTACGTTGTTTCGCAAATACGTCGTCACTGTATTCACACCACCACCACCACCTGCTTTGGGTCACCTCAACTCACACTTACGACGCTGATAGCCTTCGCCTCCACCTACCCTGTACACGAACAACTTTGCGTCGCGCATGAAGAAATGCATTGTGCAGTACAATGTTATTTACGCACAGTATTTAGGTGATTTTTTTAGTGCACTGTATCTGTATAATTTGTGTTAAAGTTTACTGCTGTACACTAGGGTTACGTACAGTATATTTTGTAATGTAATGTAACGTTGTAGGTACGTCTAGGATGAAGATGCGCACATTAACACGTAGCTTCACCGGTAACCCTCCGTTGTGTTTGTTTAGTTCTCGTGGAAATATTTATTTGACTTACGTCGTTTCGATTTTCATCGCACATTTCAGGAACTCATCCCTGATGTAAACCGGAGTATTAGTGTTCATCCCTGTGTCAAACTAATGCGGAACGAGGGCCTACCCACGTCACGTTTTTTTTTTATATTGCTCCATTATGATAAAAAATGAATTTGATTGATACAACATCTCCTACAGATTGTATAATTTCAGTCTCAATAATCTTTAGCATGCGCACTGTGCCTATTTAAAATAGCTGTCGGCTAAGGATATTAAACATTTCGCTAATAGATTTGTTGCAGCACAAGAATCACCATCGCTCTGCAATTGTAACGACCGCGCATTTAATCCAGCAGTTTCTTTGATATGAAATTATGTACAGACAATTTTAGGTGAATTTAACATTCCATCACTGTATTTAGCTGCAGGCAAGTATGTTCACTCAAGTAAAAAAATAATCAGGTTTCTGTGCATTTTTAATTGGATTGAAATAATTATTTTTAAGGCTCCATTGAACACCCTCCGATACCGATTCTGGGGAGTGATTTGGCCTGGATTTTTTCCCCCCCCCTGCTATGCAGGGGATGTTGCCAACTCTCACCTAATCCCCAGAGTTAATTATGCTTAATGAATGGGACCATGCTGTTCACTCAGCAGCCTTGATTGAATTTGGAACAGAGAAACGCACTCAAAACAGTGATACTCGTGCCTTTATTTGGTCAAAAAGCCTCTGGCAACTTTACATAAGACAGCTATGTTTCTGTTTCAAGGAAAAAGAAAAAAAAAACTAAAGAAAAAATAAGAGAAGACTACACTGTAACTACAAAATAATTAAAGCAACTTGTGTCTTTATTACCTTCCTTTTGCCAGTAGGCGAATGATAGCGATGAAAGGGAAGAAACGGAGCACGTTGTTGAAAGGGTCCGATTGTTTCAAGCGAAGTCTTTTTTTATGGATGCAAACCGTGCATTGCCAGTGTAATGTATTAATTCTAATCCCCGCAGAAATTTGTCGCTTCATGCATATAAATTGGCATTTAAAAAAAAATGTGTATACATACAACATTTTACACGATTAGGGATGTATTAGGATTAGAGCTTAAATATTTTTTTTTAAAGCGGGATAATACACTGTTAAAATGTACATAATTTACCACTATCTTAAACATAAGTATAGTATGCTGTTGCTACATTGCTTTTTTGTGAAAAAAAGTTAAAACCTTATTTTATGTGTTATATTTTTTAGCGTAAGTTAATTTCCATGTTGTAATGTGAAATTCCCAGTGACTCCTGGCCATAACTTGAGGATTGTTTTGGCAGATTTAACAACTGATGATTTTTGGTGAGCAAATGCATTTATTAAACTTAGCTACTGCTACTACAAACATCTAGTTTCCGTGTTATTCCAAATTATAGTCATCTGATGGAAATATTTAGTATCTGAGTCCTCTAAACACATCTGTACCTGGAATTGTTAACAGTGGCGAATCTCTGGCATATCTTCAGCCAACATCGTACAATAATCTCAACAGCGTCAAACACCTCTAACAGACAACATTTCTGTCGACATTGGCAGTGGTAACTTTAAAGTGGGTTCCCACTCGCACAACTTTCAGGTCATGATTTTAGCGGCGTGCGATCCACCACGGTGAAGCCACCGACTGGTGCCACGTGGGGCAAGTTACACAAGTGATTACCGCTTCTGACTTCGCCTCCTCTTTGTCATTCGGGCGGGGACGTTGGCTATGTGCTCCAGCACTGCGGAGGCAGCGAGAGTTGATGTATGGCGCAGATGTTTCGCAACCACTCCCTTCTCTAGGGGGGCATCGGAGGTGCCATTCCCTGGCTTGCCAGCAGAATTACAGTGCAGCAAAGCGTGGGCTAATATCATCTGCCCCCTTCTGTTATGGGATAGAGTGTTGCCCCCTTGCATGTGTGGGGTTTCTCCAGGTGCTCTGGTTTCCTCCCACATGTATGAATACTCACAAATTGGCAAACAAAAGTTACGTGTATTCTAGATTTGAAGCTTTCGTGACTGCAAGGATTCGTACTCTTAGTTCTTTCGGTAAAGTAAAAAAATGAAAAAATAAAAATCATGATTTTTTTATTATTTTATTTTTAATTTCATTTTTTACCTACGTGACTTTACCGAAAGAACTAAGAGTATAGTTACGTGTATATAAAGTTGCAGAGAAATGTTTGGTCGTGACGGGTCACCGCCTAGCAGCCTTCCAAGCTCGTGTCTGTGGTTCCTCAGCGATTGTGAGTTTGTATGAACGACACGATATAAAAGTAATCATTAGATGCATTTGTTGTTAGATTAGATAAGGGTGAGGGGGGGGTCTGTCCTGAACGGTCCTATTCCCAGTGACGAGGTGTGACTGAACACTCTGATGAAACAAGCACAGCAGGGGAACTGCTGACGTCAGCAGGGGAACTGTGACGTCACCTGATGACGGTTGCTTGTGTTGCGATCGAACCGTCGTGATCTATTAATTTTCTACCTACGTTACTTCACCGAAACACTCAGCCAGTAGTTTGCTCACCAATAAGGGAGCCCTACTGAGATATAAAATCCGAGTTGAGATGAAGTGACGCAAGGGAAATGTGGACAAAAATAATGTCGAGGTGTCGGTGGATGAGAGAAGAGAGATCGTTTTTTTTTCTTTGCTGTCACTCGAACATCATTATCCTTGAGTATTTGACACCATCCCTTGGTTTGGTACTATAAAAAAATTAACAGTTTTTAAGGCTTTATAAAACATTAACTTAAAAGTATTTGTTTCTAAAGAATATGTAGCCATTTATATTTTTGTTGTGGAAAGTTATTCCATAAAATAATGCATTACAATACTGTACATATATTCAGCCATGAAGTTGGATATAACAAATAATGTACTAAGAGTCTTCTGCACAGACCAAACAAAATATGTAGCTATTATTGTTGTTCTAAAAGGGTAATGAAAAAATTACAACCACAACAAGAAAGGACTGTTAACAAGAACAATGCTCTATGAAGTACAATCCCTATGACAGCTTCTTGGTGCATGGTGGTTACTCATCTGATCACTATCGAGGCTCAACGCTACTTAGCTTCTAAGACATGACGAGATCGGGTGTATTATGGGTGATTTACTCGCATGGCGAGTACTGTGAGGATGGAATCATAACACTTGGATAGGCAGAGTCTGGTTATCACAGGCAAAGGAGAACAGGACAGTCTTAAGCCTGGACTTGAATCGCAAGATGAAATCAGTTGTGTGGGCGACCAGGGGAAGGAATTTAAAGGGGCAGCACTAGCAGAGTACGGATGACCTCCCATTGATCGGATTTTGACTGAAGGCCGGGTCTTAACACCAGGGCTTGGTCGTTGGAGCAGAAGACGAGAAGAGTGCAGTAGAGTGGCTTAAATAGGTTTCAACCTTCAGGGTGCCATCAGCAGGGTCAGCCTTGTTAAACAACTGCTGCTGGGTTAACGTGGGTGTTATTTTTCAGAGCGTAGCCCCGAACAGCACCGACTGAAATTAAGTTGCAGGAACCTGGCAGGGAGATTGCCAAACAGAGATGGCGAAGAGGACAGGCGAAATGTGGAGAGCTGTTAGAGACCAGAATGCCTCTGGTGATCCTCTCAACTTTTTCAGAGGAATAACTTGGAAAATCCCTCTGTCCTGAGAGT